TGCATTCTTCAATTGGAACTTGGAGAATCCCAGAATCCCAATGGAAGGGACCTCAGGGATCATTGCTCCAACCTCTCCAGGCACAGCCTGACCCACACTGGATGCCCAGCACCCTGTGCAGCCCCATCTTAACAGTGTCCAGCCCTGGGGAGTCACCACTGCCCTGGGGACATTATTCCAGTGGCTGCTTGTTCCCAGTGGGAATCTCCCAGCAGTAACTTGTGCCCATCACCCCTGGGCTTTCCCATGGGACTCCTTGTCCAAAGGGAGCCTCCATCTTCCCTGCAGCCCCCCTTTACCTCCTGGCACATGGATCAGGTCTCCCTGCACCTTCTCCAGCTGAGCAGTCCCAGCTCTCTCAGCCTTTCCTCACTGCTGCCCAGCCCTTGGAGCATCTTTGAGGCCCTTCTCTGGCCCCTCTCCAGCCCGGCCACAGCTTTGCTGTGCAGCAGGACCCAACCTGAGCCCATGTTCCAGGGGTGCCCTGAGCAGCGCCCAGCACACTGGGACAACCTCAGCAGTTTCTTGGATGCCTCTCCCTTGTCAGCATTCTTGGTGCCTCCCTCGTTGAGCATCTCAAGACCCTTGTTGTGAACGCACATCGAAAAGACCATAGAAAACACAATTAGGCCATGCAAACACCCACAGCTGTCTCCAGTGCGGCTGTTTCCTATGACACCAAGTTCTGTTCTAGTTCATGGACCTTATGATGGGGCTTGGAGCAAGCTGCTCCAGTGGAAGGGGTCCCTGCCCGTGGCAGGGGTTGGAGCTGGAGGGGCTTTAAGGTCCCTTCAACCCAAAGCAGTCTGGGATTCGGTGGTTCTAGGACTTGCCTGTGCCTCATCCTGACCCTTGCAATCCTAGAAGCAAACAGTGTTAAGTTTACAGCTGGACTCGATGGTCCTAAAGGTCTTTTCCCACCTAAATCCCTCTATGCTTCTCATTCCCACTGCTTTTCTTATGTTGTTTGGCCCTAAGTCTTCCATGCCTTTGCATTGGTGTGGTCAAGGAAAGAGTCATTGCCTCTCTGCTTGCCTTAGCTATGACTCGCCCATCACACAGGTGAGCCCACTAATTCTCTGTGGTTATTCATACTTCACCTGGTTGGAAGCAGGGAGGGGGGTCAGACACTGCATCTCCCCATGTATCTGTCCCAGGACTTTCCTTTCCTGCCTTTCTGCACAGATGGGATGCATTTTGTTCCCAAACGTGGCTCTTCAGGAGCCTCTGATAGAATCATCCTGGAATGGGTTGGGTTGGAAAGGACCTTAAAGCTTATCCAGTGCCAACCCCTGCCATGGGCAGGGCCATCGCTTGGAGCAGAGCTCCATAAAGGGAAATGGGTGCCAGGTCCTAGATGAGGTTCAGACAGATTCTGTTACCTGTGCTTTGACCCTGGCATCTCCACATCTCTCCCTTCAGCATTGCTCAAAGAAGTCCCATTCATAAGGCATTACTTCAACCTCCTTTCACTCCAGCTCCTCCGAGGCAGATGCTCGCCAGCAACCCTGTAGAATGAATTTCCAGAGCCCCTGCCCATTCTTTTCCATGGTTTTGGAAAGCAGTTGTGCAATGACCATCGTGAGGAGGCCTCGGGCCCCGTTCCTGCTGCCGCCGGTGGTTTTGGCTGGGGGCAGCCGTAAGGAGAAGGCGTTTTGTCACTGGGAAGCATCTTTGAAGGAATCCTTTATAGTGCTTTGGGGGAAAAAAGCAGGGAGTGGGGATACGTGGGCTTTGCACCTGGGAGCACTGAAAGCGTCTTGGACAAATCACATCACCTCTCTGTGTGTCGGTGCTGTCCTCTGTGAAATGGGGATAACGCTTCTTCAGTGCGTGTGTAATGTACTCCTTTCAGGGCCTGAGATGAGAGTGCTGCAAATCCTATGCAGAAGAGCATGATCGGACCTTCGAAAGGAATAATCCCAAAGTCTTTCTGGATCCTGCATTAGGACTCATACACTGTACCTTCTGTTGTGCCAGAGAAATCCCATCCACCTCAGCATCTCTCAGTTGGATGCATTACAATGGGATAATGCCTCTTGTTCCCGTTTTTCCTTCTTATTGTAGTTGTGAAATATATAATCATAGAATCATAGAATGGTTTGGGTTGGAAAGGACCTGAAGATCAGCCAGTTCCAACCCCGTGCCATGAGCAGGGACACCTCACACTAAACCATGGCACCCAAGGCTCTGTCCAACCTGGCCTTGAACACTGCCAGGGATGGAGCATTCACAACCTCCCTGGGCAACCCATTCCAGTGCCTCAGCACCCTCACAGGAAAGAATTTCCTCCTTAGATCCAATCTAAACTTCCCCTGTTTCAGTCTGAACCCATCACCCCCTGCCCTATCACTCCAGTCCCTGATGAAGAGTCCCTCCCCAGCATCCTTGTAGCCCCCTTCACACACTGGAAGCTGCTCTGAGGTCTCCACACAGCTTCTCTTCTCCAGGCTCAACAGCCCCAATGTTCTCAGCCTGGCTCCATACAGGAGCTGCTCCAGCCCCTGCTCATCCTCGTGGCCTCCTCTGGACTTGTTCCAACAGCTCCATGTCCTTTTTATGTTGAGGACACCAGAACTGCACACAATGCTCCAGGTGAGGTCTCACGAGAGCAGAGCAGAGGGGCAGGATCACCTCCTTCGCCCTGCTGGTCACGCTCCTTTGGATGCAGCCCAGGATACGGTTGCTTTCTGGGCTGCGAGCGCACACTGAAGCCGGCTCATGTTCATTTCCTCACCAACCAACAGCCCCAAGTCCCTCTCCTTGGGCTGCTCTGAATCTCTTCTCTGCCCAATACATCCTTTACAAGTGAAACAGCATTTACACGTGTTACTATGCAGGGGAAGGAGACAGCGTGGGTTCCAGCCTTCAGCTCCTCATTCACGGCAATGAGCAGTCTGTAGCTGTGACGACCACTTTAATGTGCAGGAGTAAGCAGCATTCAGTACAGACCATGAGATCCTGCAGCTCCCTGTGACCTCCTTCACAGGGAAGGATTTCTTCCTTCTCCCTACTCCGAATCTCCCCTCTTTTAGGTTAAACCCAGGAAGTTTAAAGTCAGGCAAACACCCGGTGCTCACGAAGGCAACGTTTCAGTGCTCTCTTCATTGGAAGAACCCATTTCTTACCCTAAAAGCACGATTTTCAGCTCAGCTGAAATCACAGGCAGGAGAGGAAACACGCTTCAGTTCTGTCCCACAGAAACGAATGCCGTGGCTCTGTTAGACATCACCGATTCACTCCTTTTGTGCTGCTTGTACCGAACTGTTGGTAAAGTGAAGAACATCACCTGCAGGGACAGAGCTGCCGGAGCAGTTCTGTTATCCCAATGAAGGGAGGGGGCCATGGGATCTCCTAGGGAGCCAGGCTGAGAGAGCTGGGCTGGGGCAGCCTGGAGAAGAGAAGGCTCCTGAAGGGGAGACCTGAGAGCAGCTCCAGTGCCTGAAGGGGCTGCAGGAAAGCTGGAGAGGGGCTTGGGACAAGGGCCTGTAGGGCCAGGCCAAGGGGAATGGCTTGAACCTGCCAGAGGGGAGACTGAGCTGAGCTCTTAGGCAGAAGCTCTTCCCTGGGAGGGTGCTGAGGCGCTGGCACAGGGTGCCCAGAGAAGCTGTGGCTGCCCCATCCCTGGCAGTGTTCAAGGGCAGGTTGGACACAGGGGCTTGGAGCAAGCTGCTCTATGGAAGGGGTCCCTGCCCGTGGCAGGGGTGGGAGCTGGAGGAGCTTTAAGCTCCCTTCATCCCAACCCATTCTATGATTCCATGTGCTCCATACAATGGCTCGTCCTGCCCTGGCTGTCAGGGAGAAGGCGCTGGGTCAGCCTGAGGCCAGGGCGATGGAGGTGAGGAGTGGTGGGATGGTGGTAAGGATGTGGAGCGGCAAGGGGTTGAGTGGGGCTGTGGGGCCATGAGGAGACAGCGTGGGGCTGTGTGGGGCTATGAGGAGACAGCGTGGGGCTGTGTGGGGCTGTGGGGCCATGAGGAGACAGCGTGGGGCTGTGTGGGGCTGTGAGGGTGCTCTCTAGCAATGAAGAAGTGAAGATTTGGTAGAGGTTTATGTGTACAAAAGTGAAACTCTTGGGTTTGGAACAGAAACTTTTCCCTCTGAGCTTACAGGACCTGGGGAGAGCCACAGGGCTGGTCCATGAACCACTGGGATCAGGAGAGTAAAAGCTCCCTTCAGACAGATGCGGAAGGAACCTGGGGTCAAAAGGAAGAAACCCAACAGCATCCATTCTGTGAAGCTCAGCAGAACAGGAGACAACGGCAGCCCTGAAGGAGCTTGGTTCATGGTAAAGCTGACAACCAGCCCCGGAGGCAGGAGAGCCTTGCCCTCAGCTACCCTTACTCATGGAACACGTGTAGTGGAATCAATGTGTCTTTACGTGGAGTCGGGGGACAAGAGCAAATGCCTGTAGGTAAGGATTTAAATACACGGCAAACACTGATTTCACTGCTCGAGATGTGCAAAAGCGGGCTGCCGGCAGCCTGGGGGCTGTCCCATACCCCCAGCTTTGCACAGAGATGAATTAAACAGCATCTCCACTCTGTGAGGCGAAAGAGCCCGCATCTGGGACACGGGGATGATGTGGGACCACGGGTCTGGTGTGGGACCGCGGCGGCGGCGGGCACAAGGACCCGGAGGCGGCGGGCACAGGGACCCGGAGGCGGCGGGCACAGGGACCCGGCGGCGGCGGCGGGCACAAGGACCCGGAGGCGGCGGGCACAGGGACCCGGAGGCGGCGGGCACAGGGACCGGGCGGCGGCGGGCACAAGGACCCGGAGGCGGCGGGCACAGGGACCCGGAGGCGGCGGCGGGCACAGGGACCCGGAGGCGGCGGCGGCCACAAGGACCCGGAGGCGGCGGGCACAGGGACCGGGCGGCGGCGGGCACAGGGACCCGGAGGCGGCGGGCGCAAGGACCCGGCGGCGCCGCCGCACTCAGCGCCGCGGCTTTTTGTCCCCGCGCAGCCGCCGTCGGCCTCGTTGCCATGGCAGCGGGGTGGCGGCCGCGGGCCTGAGCTGCGCGGGAAGCCGCCCGCGGCCCAGCCTTGGCCTGCCGCCCGCCATGGAGGACGAGCTCTACCTCGAGAACATCGACGAGTTCGTCACCGACCAGAACCGCATCGTGAGTCCCGCGCCGGGGGGCGGCAGCAGAGCCGGCCCCTTCCCCTCCTCTCATGGCTGTGGTTGTGGGGGGGTCCCTGTTTACGTTCGGGGTCCCCTCAGGAGGCTGGGCCTTGACACCGGTGCGAGGCCTCCCCCCCCTCACCGCTCCGGTGCACCCCAAGCCCGCAGGTGCCCCCCGCCTGTGGGACACCCGTGGGTGCCCGGGGCCGCTGGCGGAAGGAGGCTGCAGCGGCTGAAGCTGCTTGGCTCCTCAGCGCTGCTCGCCGGAGGTTTCCTCCCCGTCGGGAGGGCCGCTGTGGTGCCTGGCACTGTTTGCAGTTCGCTTTTGAGCGGTTACCGCGGGGTTCCTGTCAGGCTGGGCGGGAGATGGGTTTCTGGTCAGGATATTACAATCAGAGAACGGTTTGGGTTGGAAAGGGCCTTAAGATGATCCAGTTCCAACCCCCTGCCGTGGGCAGGGACACCTCACACTAAACCATGGCACCCAAGGCCTCCTCCAGCCTGGCCTTGAACACTGCCAGGGATGGAGCATTCACAACCTCCCTGGGCAACCCATTCCAGTGCCTCAGCACCCTAACAGGAAAGAATTTCCTCCTTAGATCCAATCTAAACTTCCCCTGTTTAAGTTTTAACCCGTTACCCCTTGTCCTGTCACTATTCTCACTACAGTATTCACCCCCCTGAGGTTAATTTAACATCTCATAGAATCCCAGAGTGGTTTGGGTTGGAGGGGACCTTAAAGCTCCTCCCGTCCCAACCCCTGCCACGGGCAGGGACCCCTTCCACTGGAGCAGCTTGCTCCAAGCCCCTGTGTCCAACCTGGCCTTGAGCACTGCCAGGGATGGGGCAGACTGTTCTTCATAGCCTTAGGGTTAGTTTAAAGAGGCAGAGCGGGAGGAGAAACAGGTATAAAAGCCATGCCTTGTCTAAATAACAGAGCAAGTGTTTTTTTTTACAAGGGCCTGTAGGGCCAGGCCAAGGGGAATGGCTTGAACCTGCCCGAGGGGAGACTGAGCTGAGCTCTTAGGCAGAAGCTCTTCCCTGGGAGGGTGCAGAGGCGCTGGCACAGGGTGCCCAGAGAAGCTGTGGCTGCCCCATCCCTGGCAGTGTTCAAGGCCAGGTTGGACACAGGGGCTTGGAGCAAGCTGCTCCAGTGGAAGGGGTCCCTGCCCGTGGCAGGGGTTGGAGCTGGAGGAGCTTTAAGCTCCCTTCCAACCCAAACCATTCCATGGTTCTAAGGCAGTGGCCAGGCAGCAGAAATCCAAGTTGTAGCAGGACTCCAATCAGTAGTCATTTGGGAGAGCAGTAAGAGCTTCTCACAGCTAAAACTTGCGCTGTTTAGCTGGTTTCCTGCATTGTGAAGCTAAGCAGTGAGCGTGTTTTGCATGCCTGCTGTTTATATAATGGCATTTCAAGAAGGTGTTCCCAAAACCACACCTTTCAGGGCATGTATTTTGCTCCGGTCTCAGGAATTCAGTCTACTCATGAAAGCTTGCCTGGGTGCATGTCCAAGTGCTCTCCCTTCTAACAGGGTTTGCTGTGTGTTTCTTGGAGGCAGGGACGAGTTTGACTTACCCATTAAACGAGTAGATGGAGGTTTAACAAGTCACAGGGTTGCAGTTTTCTTACTGAAGTGAGATTTGCTTTGTTCTTGTTACAGGTAACGTACAAGTGGCTGAGCTATACCCTGGGAGTTCATGTCAACCAGGCTAAACAGTAGGTATTAGTGCATCCCACAAACGTTTTGTTCTGGGGCAAAACCTTGCTAATGACTCATTTCACGATCGTGGTTAATACATTAAAATTATCCCTCTGGAAATACTCTAAAATCCTTCTTGGGCACAGCCTGTTATTCAGTGTCTTCCTGGGGGCAGGTCTTGCCTTTGGGAGTTGTGCTTTAGAGAGCAGCGCTCAGCTGGACACCTTATGCTGCTTTAGACCATAAATTCTTTGGTTGGAATAGCTGGTTTAGTGTTATATTCCATCCTGGATGTGTTTTCAGAACGGGGCTGTGGTTCTGCAGAGCTGTGCCTCTGTGAAAGCCTGCTGCTGCGTGTCCCAGCTTAGGATATTGTACGTTATCCATGGATATTGCTGGGAGCAGGATCAGGAAAACACAAACCAACACTGATTGCAACTGCAGCTCATGTGTATGCAAATGCTTATTCATTCTGATCACCCTGCTGCACAGCCCATTATAAAGATCTCCTTACCAGGCTTGATGGGCATGGGTAGATGCTTCAAGGCTGGGGAAGCTGTCAGCATGGTTTTGCTTCTCTGAATTTAGTATAAATATATAACCTTGTCTTGGTGTATTTTGAAGAATAAAAATCGTAACCTTTTAAATCTCCTATAAAACAAAGAATGAGCTCTCAAGGATTCCAGGGCTGTTGCTGCACAGGAAGGTAAAATCAAGCATATGATTTAAAGGCTCCATGAAAGTGTCAAGCTCTATAATACAGTGTTTTCTCTCCTTATTTCTGGCTGTAGCTTGGACCTGAAGGGATGTTTGCTGTGTGCTCAGCTGCAATGTACTGAGCTCAGCTTCACGTGTCCTGCCCAAACCACTAGAGCATAAACTCTAATGTAATGAAGAGATTGTCTGGTCTCTTTCCTCTGCCTGTGTGTGAACAACTTAGATGATGTGTAAACCTGACTGTGCTTCAGTGATAGTGTGGAGGTGACTGGAGAGCTCTGCTGGGAGCCATTCTGGTCATACAGTAAAGTAGGTGAAGCAGAGGCACCTTCTCATACCCTTGAAAGCAACCTGGAGATGGAGAGCTCTGGTGGCATCTTTGTGCTTAAAACTCTCTCCTAGAAGCTGGAAAGTGGCTGATAGCACAAATGGATTGTTTTAGTGATTGTGCTGGCTGGGACAGTGTGGTAATTGCAGCAGTGATGATCTTCATGTATTTTTGCCAGATATTGTCCTCATAGTGTTCAGCAGTGTCTCTGCCCTGTTATGTGGGACACTCAACATAAATCAAGCTGAAAGCTTCAGTCTCCACTCTATCTTGTCATCAGTAATCACAGAATTGTATTAATAATGCTCTTCCCTCCTGTTTCTAATCCCTGTGCCAGTGGCTCTGGCTGGGGTTGTATATATACACCTGGTAGTGTGATTAGGTACCAGAGATCACCAGTTCCTCATCAGGTGTTTCAGAACCCTGGGATATAATGAGGAAAACAGCCTTTCCTGGGGTGACACTTTGGAACAAGCTGTCCAGAGGATGTGAGACCACCTGCAACCAACTGTGCAAGCTTTGAGAGCTTGTATTCATTTCACCTTTGGTTTATACCGTGGTTGGACTGAGATTCTCCAAAGTGGCAGAGGAAGAACGTGGCTTACTGAGATAAATTGAATCCTGGTTGAAATAGCACTGCTTATTTGAAAAGATTCCATGCCAGGCTGGCTTTACTCTTCCTTTACGTAAGCTTTATGGAAGGGGTGATGGTGGGCTCTTTCCTTCCTAGGTGATTAACACTGGTTTCTTTTGTGCAGGATGCTCTATGATTATGTGGAGAGGAAACGAAAGGAGAATTCAGGAGCTCAGCTTCATGTCACCTACTTAGTAGCTGGAAACCTCATCCAGAATGGACACGTGGTGAGTGGTTCCTCAAGGGTGTCTGTGAGCTCTTTGTTCTTGTGGATTCCCTCTTGGTTTATGATTTTTGGGTCAAAACTGAATTTGCTCTCTTTTTTTCCAGTGGAAAAAAGTTTTCTGTGCACATACAAAATGCGGTGCTAGCCTTGTCCCAGCATACAAATGATGGGGAGGAAAGATCATGACTTGATAATACAGTGCTGAATAACACACCAGGGCTTTGATTTAATGCAGTGCTGTCAGTCATCTCTCAATCCTAGCACTGTTATTGGATGGCAAAGATTTTGCAGAGATCTGGAGGAACCCTTGTGAGATGAGCTAATCCGTTCCTCGGGATCTGCTGTGGCATGGAAGTGCTGAGCAGTGTTTGGAGAGAGCTTGGAATTCAGTTAGAATGGAATAGTAATAAATAGAATAATAGTTTAAATTGTTAATTGAGGCAACATTTTATCCTGGTACACAAGGAAAACATGTATTGATTAACAATATTTTGTATTTAAAATGCTTTAGCTTATGAAGCTTTAAGCACTACTTAATTTATATGGGTTTTTTCCTCATTGCTTACCACCTAAAATTTCAGCTGGGTACCCCAGAGCTGTTTGAAAGAGAGGAGCAAATAGAACATCTGTTTCCTTCTGCTCACAGAACAACTTAATACCCAAACACTGAATACCTTTGTCATTCCACCAGGTATCTATTTGTATCTTTAGATACCCCAAAATCTCTTTACAACACAATCCACAGTCTTCATTTGGAGTTGGTTCGCCTCAGGGTGTTCTGGCTTTTATGTGTGGATTGGGAAAAAGCCCCAACAAACCTTCTGTTGTTTGTTTTCCTTAATAATAAACTGGTTCAGATGCATGGAATGTTCTCTTTAATTCTCCAACGCTGCCTGAAATTGAAAGTAATTATTTATTTAAAGATCTAAATATGTATTTACATAAAATACATACATTTACATACATTTTAGTGTATTTATATAAACACTTATCATGTGATCATTTATAATTTTCATATTTATATCTAGTTAAATATCTATTTATACAAATAAATATATATTAAATATAATATGAATTTCGTTAACTATATAGACATTTAAATATAGAGAAGCAAACTATAAATAATCATACTGCAAATGTTATATAAATATACTGAAATGTATTTAAATAAACATACCATAAATATATTTAAATAAATATATATAAAAATATAGTATATATTTAAATATACTACAAATATATATGAATATGCTATAAATATATACTAAATATAAATATAGATATATATTATAAATGTACAGCTGTGGCACATTTATAGCCTGAGTTCAACAGGTTTTCCCCTGATCTCTTCTGGAAACAGCAAAGTGGCATCTCTTGGCTCACTAGAGAATTGTCAGCGCATTCTATTATTATTAAATTATATATATAATTATAATATATTTGAATATATTATAATATATTTGAAACATATGAATTCTGACATAGGATCACATTATTTATTGGGTATTTTTAAGACAAGATCTGTACCCAGGTAAACATAGAAAAGTCACTTCTTGGTTTGCTTTTAAACATCTTGGTTTTGAACACTGCAGGAGCAGCGTCTGCTTAGAGAGGTGACCTACAGGTGCAGTAAGTCATCAGGAGCAGGCATGAAGCAATGCCAGGGTTAGGAATGCCACACTGGAGGAGTTTAAAGCTCCTCGGGCTGCGTGTTGGAGGGATAACTGGAGCAGATAGGATAAGAGGGTCAGATCTGGATGATGCTTCCAAGTGATGTGTAGGTATTGGAGTAGCTGGTGGGTAGGACCTGGCACAAGTCAGTTTTGGCTGGGAAAGGGGTGTGAGCTCTTCAAACACAGCCCTGTGCTTGTGGTATCCCTGCACTACTGTCTGCTGGCAGTAGGTGTAGCCAAAAGACTGTGGATTCCACTGCAAGACTCGTCCAAGAGGAGATAGGGATAGAAATCAGTCACAAATCATTCTCATCGTGCCTTCAGCACCGCACACTCTTTTCTTGCTGCTTTTTATCATCCTTGGCGAGGGACTGAGACTCTCAATCTTTATTTAGTGTTTCAAGTTGCCTTTGTTTTCTCCCCTCTTTTGCTGGCTAATCTGTGGGATCAGTTAAAATTAATGGTTGGATTTTGTCTAGCCTGTCTCTTTGGATACTCTCTGTATGAATTGCAGCCTGTTAAATGCCATGGAGCAGGTACAGTCCTTGGAGACTGGCCACAGAGCATGTTTCCAGAAACACTAATTTCTGGCTTTTAATTTAATGCTTAATTTCTCACACTGCTTTGCTTCTTTGGTGCTGTGTCAGGTTGCTGTGTTAAAGTTTACTGGCAATCTAACTATACATGGGTGATGTGGGTTAGTATGGCAGATTTCTTACCACAGGCATCAGCTGTGTTAGTTTGCTGTTCTCCACTGTGCTGCATAGTTGTTTACTTCTTGTTTTATCTGTGTCTCATCTCCCAGTGTCAGGAATGGAACACAGAGGATTTCTTCAGGGTTGCAATGATCTCTGGAACAGTCTGTTAGAAAAGTAGGAAGGCAGAGCTTTAAGAACTAGTGGCTGATGGCTGTTTAAAGGCATTGGCAGTGTTCTCTGCTGCTGTAAAGCCGCACCTATAATCAATAGACTCTGTTATTCAATAGATCATAGAATCATAGAATGGTTTGGGTTGGAAGGGATCTTAAACTCATCCACTCCCAAACCCCTGCCACGGGCAGGGACACCTTCCACTGGAGCAGCTTGCTCCAAGCCCCTGTGTCCAACCTGGCCTTGAACACTGCCAGGGATGGGGCAGCCACAGCTTCTCTGGGCACCCTGTGCCAGCGCCTCAGCACCCTCCCAGGGAAGAGCTTCTGCCTAAGAGCTCAGCTCAGTCTCCCCTCGGGCAGGTTCAAGCCATTCCCCTTGGCCTGGCCCTACAGGCCCTTGTCCCAAGCCCCTCTCCAGCTTTCCTGCAGCCCCTTTAGGTCTTATGAGACTGTTACAAGGTCAGTTAACCAAAATATCAGTCTTTAAATGTAAAAATACTTACTATATGTTGTTTGCCATCTGTCTGTTTTTTTACAGTGCCACAAGGTTGCAGTAGTGAGAGAGGACCAACTCGAAGGTGAGCAACTTGTGAAGATTATGTGGTTTTGACTTTTTCTTTGAAAAAACAGTAAAGTGAGGAAAGCTCTGAGCTTGCCATCTGCACGTAAATGCCTGCTCAGGCTGCTGGGTTCAGGTGTGTACTCCCTGTACCAGCTTTTTCTCAGAATTTTCAGTCTCTCAGCCAAGGGCTGTAACTTCAGGCTGGTGATTTGGGTCTGATTTTTTGTTTTTTTTCTGTTGCACCCTTCAACCAATGATTCTTTTTCGCCTCCCTGCCACTGCCAGGCAACAGCTCCTTAAGGTCATCAGTGTATCTTAGGAGTGTCCAGCAGTGTCTCAGGGTGTTAGAACAGTTCTAAGCCTTTAGGCTCCCAAGGAAGGTGAAGCAGGTAATTCTGGTTGTTGGTTATGTGCAATTGCAGTCTTAATTTGCCCTGAATCATGTGGGGTTTAGTTTAAACGTCCCATGAGAACGTTCTGTCTCTTGTCTGAGAGATTTCCTGTCACAGAGGTTTAAAAACCCCACCACTGTGACACTGCTTCCTGCAGCTACTCTCCATACACTGTCAGTTGTGTTACCATCTTTCCAGGTCTGGTCCAGCTGATGAGGCCTGATCTGTATCGACTGAAACACAACTGCAGGCTCTTCCTTACTGTCAAATAACATCTTTGGCTCTTGAGAACATAATGTGGCGTTGGTGACTTTAAATAGGCTTATGACCTCACTTGGTTTGAAAGACTCTCATTTATTTTCCTTTTTGAAATCTGAAGTGGATTTCTTGCTAAAGCCTTCCTCATCAGTGGAGTAGATTGTTGAGCAGCGCAACTACTATCTGTCATGTTGCTTGAATTATGTGTGCTACGTAATACTCTGTTTTGCTCTGGAGGAAAGGGTTGGGCATGGTTTTTGTATTAGAAGACAGGCCAAAGGTATGACTTACATTTGGAAGAGGCTGAGATTTTTTTTGATGGAGTTAGGGCTGTATAGTCTAGGACTGGCCCCAAGGAATGATTACTGTGTGTATTTTTACAGTGCCTAGAAGCTCTGTCTCAGACCAGGACTGTGTGGAAAGAACAATATAAGCAATGAACAAAGAATTCCTAAAAACCAGCCCTTGTCTCAAGGGAGTCACAGTCTAAATGGTGTGGAAAAGACAAAACATGAATCCCAGCAGACTACTAGAGACAGCACTGATGCTAGTTGATAAGGTGGATGCTACCTTAATGGCAGAGAGCAGTTCCAGCAGGGTAGAGTTATGACTATCTATTTTCTGCCTTAACTTTAGATAGTCATATAGATATGCCCTCATGGCAAGGGCTTGGAGCTAGATGAGCTTTAAGGTCACTTCTAACCCAAACCAGCCTGTGATTCTATATTCTGGATCCCAAACACCAGATATTTTGAAAGTCAACACAGAAATTGCTCTTAATTCAGTTGCGTAAGAACCAGGAATGTTGTGTAAGAACCAAATATGTATAGTGGGAAACATGTTTGACATGTGGGGTCTGTTAACATGAGCTCTCACTTAGTGAGGACTGACCAAAGGTGCAATTACATGTTTTTATGTTCAGGTCCTTGCTGTCAAGCGATCTGTCAGTCTTTCTCCATCCTTGGTACAGCCTAATAGTTGCCACATGGTTCTGTGCTAACAGAGGACTTCTCTCCTCCTTTTCCTCAGCAATGAAGTCTAAACTATCCACAATTGCAAGCGTGCATGTCTACAGCATTCAGAAAGCTCTGCTCAAGGACAGTGGACCCCTCTACAACACAGACTATGATATTGTCAAAACAAACCTGCACAACTGCAGCAAGTGAGTTGCTTCTTGGTTTTTCTTCTTCAGCAGTTGGTAGAAGGCCAGCACCAGCCTGCCATGAGCCCTATAGGCTCTTGGGGCCTCATGTAAGTAGTATACAGGGGTCATGGTGGGAGACAGGAAAGAAGGCATGAGGGGAAAGGAGTAAAAAGAGCTAGCACAAGCTGAAGCAAATGATTTAGATGAGGGGAAAGTGGCAAATCTTATAAATGTAAAAATAAGGGCAGGGAATTGGAGGGATCAGCTCGACTAGGGAAGGAAGTCAGGAGAGCCCAGCTGGTGTTTGTGTTGCAGGTCTGATCCATTACCTGTAAGGGATTTCCTACACCAAAAGGCTGCTTGCTTAAAAGATGGAGTTGACAGGGCAAGTGTTGGAGATTCAGTGGTTGGACCTGATGATCTTAAAGGTCTTTTCCAGCCGAGCTGATTCTATGATTTGAGGCTGATAAGGTGTTGCTACATAGAGCACTTCAGCAGGAATCAGTGGTTCCTTGATACGCCTGGATTTTTAGAAAGCTTGAAGAAGAGAGCTTCTAAGTTGTGCCAGACAGATCATTATATGATTGTTTCATAAACTGAGCTATTTCCATCTTGCACTTGGTTCATTTGCTCTGTTACTCTAATAGACAGACTGTTCCAGCACCTTTCTTTTCTGGTGGCTGGAAACTTCATTCTCATTTCCAGGTCATGCTTGATCATGACCATTTTTATCCAGTGTTCAGTCACACAATAAATAGAAGCAGACTGAGCAAAACATGAGTGATGTGCTCAGTAAAGCACTAGCAAGAGTTTGCCTTCTGGTTTGTGAGACTGGGCTTATCCACCTCTCTGAAGATGTCTTACAGGATCTTCTTCTCCATATGTAAGAGCCCGAGGCATAGAGGAAGTGTCCAAAAGAGACCAAGCAGCACAAGTGTCCTTCATGGTTGAATCAGAGAAATGCCCCATCCCTGGCAGTGTTCAAGGCCAGGTTGGACAGGGCTTGGAGCAAGCTACTCTAGTGGAAGGTGTCTCTGCCTGTGACAGGGGGTTGGAACTGGATGAGCTTTAAGGTGCCTTCCAACTCAAACCATTCTGGTTCTGTAACAGTAGTCCTAGAGTTCAGAGGTGCTTCAGTCTCCAGGGGTCATTGTCTCCCCTCCAGAAGCTGCCTGGCAGCTGTGGCTTTTCATTTTATATGTTGTTTCCACCACAATAGCTTCAGCTTGATGTAATCAGGACGTACAGTGCCATGACCAATCTGGTTTAGAAAGGGAGATGCCTGAATGTTGTGTCATAGAAAGAGTATAGAATTTGAAAGTAGAATCAAAGTGTGGACGAGAGAGTGGCTGAGAAAATACCACCCTGTGTTTCAAATGTGAATGTCAGGGTTAGAAAACACTGTCTCAGTGACAATGTGTGCTGTAGGTTTGGCTGCAGTTGCCTTGTTCCAGCCTGTTTGTTCTCGGGCACTCCCCATGGTGATATTTTGTGTCTTGGAGGAGTGTCCCTTTGGGATTTGTGCATCCAGGAGGTTCAGACAATTCAGGTTCTGCAGTAGCTTTCTGATGTGTAAATCCCTTCCTGGCTTTGGAGCAGGGTTTTCCAAGCAAACTGAGGGAAGCTCATTTGTGACCTGGCTCAACAAAATTGAAAGTGAGCACATTCCCTCTGCCATGTCCACTAGATGAATTGTCTTCTGGGACAAGATTCCTGCAGGACCTGCAAAAGTCAGAGCTTTATGTTCATAGCAAACAACCTGCTGGCTTCCTGTGTTCCCTTGTCAGCCCATAGATCTCTCACTCTAGAGCAGGATCTATATCCTTTTCTGTGTTTATATGGGACCTGTGAAGATGGGGAGATGATGGAGGTATTCAGATGTGCTAGTATAAATAACTGGATTTAATCCATGTTGCTAATGTCAGCTTTCCAAGCAGAAGCAGCTCCTTGCTTGCAGAGCATAGTCCAAGTGTTGCTTGGTTTTTCAGTGATTATTCAGTGTATTTTGGATCAAGCCCATAAGCTGTAGTCACACAGCAGCACTAAAGCAAGCTAATTGGGAATGTGTGAGGGTAAAATGTGCTTGTTCCATGGTCAATATAATTTTGGATGATAAAATGTTATTATTTACATATAAAACACATCTTTCCTAAGAGAAGGCTCAAGGGAGCCATTATAACAGTGTTCTAATACCTAAAGGAGCTACAAGAAAGCTGGAGAGTGGCTTTGGACAAGGGCTTGTAGGGCCAGGCCAAGGGGAATGGCTTGAACCTGCCCCGGGGAGACTGAGCTGAGCTCTTAGGCAGAAGCTCTTCCCTGTGAGGGTGTTGAGGCGCTGGCACAGGGTGCCCAGGGAAGCTGTGGCTGCCCCATCCCTGGCAGTGTTCAAGGCCAGGCTGGACACAGGGGCTTGGAGCAAGCTGCTCTATGGAAGGGGTCCCTGCCTGTAACAGTGGCTGGAACTGAATGAGCTTTAAACTCCCTTCCAACACAAACCAGTCTGGGATTCTGTCTGTAATGTGGAGGGTTTGTGATGTTGCTTATGGGGGTCTTTGGAGTAGAAGTGAAGCTTCTTCAGCATTGACCATGTTGAAAACACTGAAAGTAGAAAGGAGGGTAGGGTGTATCTTTCTTCAATGTCTTCTTTCCTTCCTTTAAAGGTTTGAATGTCAAGAGAGTGCTGCTGCAGCCTAAAAATGCTGTAGAGATGGTGTTGTTTTGTTAACACATCACAGTTCCTGCTCCTAGGAGAAGTGGATTGTCCATGTGAGCTGCTAACGCTGAGGCACAGAAATTAATTGGCAGAAGCCTGATTTAGTTCTTATGCAAATAAAGCCACACTATGCAATTCAGGGGGCTGGGAGGGCTCAGCCTCTGCCCTTTTTGTGGCATTTGTGTAGGAAATCTGGAAAACTTTGCCTGTGATTTGCACAGTGGGGAGTCAAAGTTAGTTATTTTTGGGTCCTGCTATTCCTGACTGTCAGCAAGTTGTAACTGTGAGCACGTTGTTTAGTTCCTGGAGCTCTGGAGCCCCAAACAGTCACACTTCAGACTGGTACAAGCTGAGATGTTTCTCTGTCTCCCAGTGATTACATGGTGATGACTTTATGTATCTAACTCTGAATGTCGCGTAGATCTATTACTAGTAGATCTGCTACTATTCAAGTAGTTCTGTTTTCAGTTGTGATTTATTTACCTGGCTGATGTGATTGTAGCTGCTTGTTGCCTCAGTAGTAGCCTGTCAATGCATCTGGAAGTAAAGGTTTTGGATCATCAGCCAGACATACAGTTTATGTTGTGAACTTTAGAGAGCAGAACCACTTCAGGAACAGAATGTAGTCTGCTCCATCCTGAACAGCTTGTTTAGCATTTGAATCATAGAATTATGGAATCATTTGGTTGGAAGGGACCTTAAAGCTCATCCAGTTCCAATCCCCTGCCACGGGCAGGGACCCCTTCCACTAGAGCAACTTGCTCCAAGCCCCTGTGTCCAACCTGGCCTTGAACACTGCCACTGATGGGGCAGCCACAGCTTCTCTGGGCACCCTGTGCCAGTGCCTCAGCACCCTCACGATAAGGAGTTTCTTCCTTATATCCAACCTGAGCTTCCACTGTTTCAGTTTGAACCCATCACCCCTTGTCCTATCACTGCAGTCCCTAATGAAGAGTCCCTCTCCAGCATCCTTTTAGCCCACTTCAGACACTGGAAGCTGAGTTTTAAAGCTCTGTCTCTTTGTGACAGCTTCAGCTGATCTCAGTAGAGGTCTCCATCCTCTCAATGTATGCCAGCCTTTCTTTCTTCTCCCATGCACAAACTAACCTACTCTTTTAACCATAACAAGAGAAGCCAGGACCAGAGAAGATGCTACCCGGCAGGAAAACAAGGTGAAAAGTAAGAAGCTAATTAAACTTGTCCCTCCATCCCACAGGTTTAGTGCCATTCGATGTGATGCTGCAGTCCCCAGGCCGGTGGTTGAAGTCGCTCCAGCGCAGACGTCTGTGCAGGATGGTTCCCAGACCAAAAGTGACAGGAGTGCTGCCAGTGTCCCTGCAGTCAATGGCCGTGGACCATCGAGTGCTAAACCAACCACACAGCAGCCCAAAGGGATCATGGGAATGTTTGCAGCAAAAGCAGCTTCCAAATCCCAGGACACAAATAAAGAAACTAAAGTGGAGTCTAAGGAAGCCCCAAGTGTAAGTTACCTCAGACTCTTTGGCAGCCCTCTGGGCTAATAGCTTTAATGAACCATGCTTTGAGCTTTGCTCTTACTCGACCTAAATAACCTTAACCACCGTAGCACAGCCTCAGCCCCTCCTTCTAGAGCTAAACTTGCTGTCCCCTGGGAGTGCTCAGTCAGTTTTGCAACTGTGTAGTACAAATGTGCCTTCTGTCAGTCATCTTGGGCAGAAACATGTTGTGCCAAGCTCTTGATCTATCCACAAGAGTAGATTTGCCATAATTCCTCATCCAGAGGAGGACATGAAGATGCTACGAGGGCTGGAGCAGCTCTGCTCTGGAGCCAGGATGAGAGAGTTGGGCTGGGTGAGCCTGGAGAAGAGAAGGCTCCTGAAGGCGAGACCTGAGAGCAGCTCCAGTGCCTAAAGGGGCTGCAGGAAAGCTGGAGAGGGGCTTGGGACAAGGGCCTGTAGGGCCAGGCCAAGGGGAATGGCTTGAACCTGCCCGAGGGGAGACTGAGCTGAGCTCTTAGGCAGAAGCTCTTCCCTGGGAGGGTGAATGGTTGAGCTTTAAAGTCTCTTCCAGACCAAACTGCTGTGTGATTTTGTAATATCATAGACACTTTGACATTCCTCCTTGAATGAGTATAAACCAGCACAGCTCCATTACTGAAACAGTTGTTCTGTTGTCCTCAGTTAGGCCAAGATATGCACCAGTTGAGGATCTTGCTCCTCTCCATTGTGCTTAAAAGGCTTTGTTTTGAGCAAGAAGTGCAATGTGAGAAGTCCAGGTCTTAAAAGCATCAAGGTGTTTAAACATGTGCTGTGAGGGAAGTTTCGGAGCTTGACCAGTGCAAGACTAAACTGTTTATCTTCTCCACTGCTGCTTTTTTCCAGGATAGGATTCCATTTTAATCAGTATAATTGTTTTTAAAGCAATATAGCCAGTAAATGGGGATTTAAATGGTAACATTCCCTGCATATGTTCTGCCTTTTTTTAATAACTGCTGAGTGCATTTTAGTTCATTTTTCTGAGTTTTTATAGTGAATTTAGCTCTGGTGAAATACGTGTCTGAATATTTGGGGAACTTTAGTGTCTGGTTGCCTTTTTTTGCATGAAACTAAATGGGATGAGGAAGCCAGGCTTCCTTAGGTGGGTGTTTTGTGTATGTGATTTTTCACTGTGGTGGTGGCTCTCTTAGTGGAATTGAGCAGTGATATTTATTTCAGCAGAGCAGGGGACGTGCCAGAGGAGCTGGATAAAGTCTTCATGGTTTGGCCAATCTTTGTTCTTTCCTCTGTCAGTTACTGTGAATTGAGGCACTGATAGTTTGCAAAAAGAACAGTTCTTGCCTGGGATCTGACCCAAGTCCCAACCACTTATTTCAGTAACACTGTCAACCATCAGATGGGAATGTGCCCTAAGCTGCATTTGCAGGCCTTGCTAAGTAGTGAGTAACTTACTCATCTAGGATCTTCACATTCTCCTAAACAGACGCTGAAATCCAACACGCTGACCAGTCAACAAACTATATAGGTTTATTTTGCTTGTCCAGAAGCAGGGCTTTGCATTTTGAGGGCTTTGCTGTGTGAATAATTCCTGTGGTTACTCCTCTGTTTGCTTCTAGGTGTCTGCGACGAGCAGCAAACCACCAGCAAAGGGCAACATAATGAACAACTTCTTTGGAAAAGCTGCCATGAGTAAGTGCTTTAGAACGTGTATCTGTTTGCAGAAACTGGAGTTTGAAAGCTAAAAATCCTGAGGGATAGTGGAATTACAGCTTTCTTTTTAAAGCTGAGTAGCAATTAAAGATAACCAGTGTGTGAGCAGCAGGTTGAAGGAGGTGATCCTGTCTCTCTGCTCTGCTCTGCTGAGCCCCTACTTGCAGCACCGTGTGCAGTTCTGTTGTCCTCAACATCAGAAGGACATGGAGCTGTTGGAGCAAATCCAGAGGAGGCCACGAGGATGCTCAGGGGCTGGAGCAGCTCCTGTATGGAGCCAGGCTGAGAACGTTGGGGCTGTTGAGCCTGGAGAAGAGAAGCTGTGTGGAGACCTCAGAGCAGCTTCCAGTGTGTGAAGGGGGCTACAAGGATGCTGGGGAGGGACTCTTCATTAGGGACTACAGTGATAGGACAAGGGGTGACGGGTTCAAACTGAAACAGGGGAAATTCAGGTTAGATATAAGGAAGAAGTTCTTTATTAGGAGGGTGCTGAGGCACTGGCCCCAGGGTGCCCAGAGAAGTTGTGAATGCTCCATCTCTGGCAGTGTTCAAGGCCATGTTGGACAGAGCCTTGGGTGCCATGGTTTAGTGTGAGGTGTCCCTGCCCGTGGCAGGTGGTTGGAACTGGATAATCTCAAAGTTCTTTCCAACCTAAACCATTCCATGATTCTATGATTTCAGGTGTGTTGTTACACAGCTATGATGGGAGGCATAAAGAGAAAGGAGCGCAACTCTTCCTTCCCGCCCTTGCCCAGTCAAACTTGTTGGATTTTCTTTATATCCCTTCTTTCCTTACAGCTTTCCATACTATTCTTCTGCTCTTTTGGCCTCAGAGGGGTTAATACTTTTGCCTGCAGCTCTTAAGGCAAAAATTAAAGAGTTTTAAGTGGAATTTTTCAGACAAAAAGCTTGCTGGATGCAGATCAATGGAAATGACATATTTGTGCAGCCTAACCCAGGAAGGCTTTTTCTGTGTGTGTGTGCAGAAGAAATCTGATTTAAAGTGAGTACTTCTGGCTGGAAGATTAGCTCTTGGCCCAGTGTTTGCCAAGACCTGTTATACAGGGCGCGTTAATGACGCTTGCTTTTCATCACAGACCACTGAGGAGTCTAGAGTTAGATGGAGGGTTAACTTCTTGCCTCAAAACTGAGGGTAAAATTGAAGAGTGGCCTTCCCTTTGAGCAGGGGTTCAGACTAGGTGGCCTCTGGAGCTACTTTCTGACTTAAATGATCCAAGTCTGAAGCAAATACCTTTTAAATAGACATTGGAAAAGGACTGTAGGACTTTGAAGAAAGATGCCCTTATAACAAGTACAAAAGGATTCAAAGAAGAGTTACTGGGAGGGAGTAAACAGCCAAGTTCACTTTCTAACAGCCCTCTGTCAGAGGTTGCAGGGTACAGTTCCAGCCCTGAACACACAAGACGCAGTACTGTTGGGCATCATTGAGTTCCTGTTTTATGTGGCTGAGGGAGCTGAGGACACAGTTACTACAATGAACTCAAGTAAATTCTTAAGGTCTAAGAAGAGCCCTGAACCAGAGTTCAGATGCTGGAACCCCAGCAGACTGCATGGTAAAGAAGACCCAGTGGTGATGGAGAAAGCTTTGTGAATGCATTCCCATGATTTCCAATGGGGTTCACTTTATGGAGCCCTGTCAGGGAGTGCTTCAAGGAAACTTGAGGTGGCTGCAGGGAAGGAGCAAACAGAGTAGAACTGGAAATTCTGATGTGTTTAGAAGAGAGAGGGTGATTCCAGGAGTAAGATTTATTCCCTGCGTGTAGTATGTCTGTCCTGGCATCAGAGATTTCACCCTTGCCAGAAAGTCCTGAGATAACAATAACTGGGTCCTTCAGCTTTCTGCTGTTGATCATAAATAAGAGAGCTGTCAGTCAAGCTCTGCTCCATAAGATATTTTCCCTTGCTCAATGAAGCAGGCGGCCTGGTTTCCAAGCAGTATCAGAAAGGCATTGGCATGAAGTCTCAGCCCTCTCAGCAGCCTCTGTTCTTACTAAGAACGTGGTTGATCTCCTTATTAAATACTTTTTCTTTGCTGGACATCTTGTGCTTTGGGTGCTGCAGGTTTCTGACGTGCCTGTTCTTTGTTTCTGGTGGGGTAGAGCTGCTGAGTGAAGCTCACAGACTGCCATCAGGTGCTGGTGTGCTGACAGCACCACCTATGAGGTGGATAAATATAGTATTTTGCTGTCTGCTCCCCCCTGCTATCTCTTTTGTGGTATTAGATTAAGCCTTTTGAAGCTGAATTGTCCTTATAGGCAGAAGAGGACGTTTCTTAATCACATTGGGGTTAGTGTAGAACAAGAAGCCATGGCTCTTACTGACAATACTATGTTATGTTACTGACAAGACTCTGATGTTATACAGGATGGGGACTGCACACACCTCTCCTTGCTATTCATCAGTCCAGATTCTCCAGTTTCCAGCCACTTTTGTGCTTGACTGAAGCTCTAATTTAGAAGAGAGCAACTGCTTATGGATCAGTTGCTCCCTTCTAAATCCTGGATGTGGCGTTATGCTAAAGAGGATGTCTAGAAGAGGGGCTCCCAAGCCTTCTGCAGTGCCTCAGGTCCTGGTGATTGTCAGGGCTTCTGCCTCTTAGCCCTCTTGTACAGAGTTTAACTGCTATGGCACACTTGGTTTTCTTAGGTTGTGCTGTCAGGAACAGCAGAACCAAGCTGGTAAATGGTTTTCTTTATCCCATCCTTTGTTGTCAGTCAAACTGAATGCCCAGTGTTCTTCTTGTAATGGCTTGTCCACAGATAAACTCAAAGTCAGCTCTGTGCCTGAGCAGCCAAAGGAAGAGAAGGAAGTCATCACGCCTTCGGTTCCTGAAGCAGCACCAGAGTCATCCCTTAATACTGTTGTAGAGAAGCCTGGGAAGAAAACAGAACCTGCTAGAAATCAACAGAAGGACAAAAAAAGGTGGGTGACACCTCTCAGGATCCCTAAAGTCTGTTAACCCACTTGTTGATGGCTGCATGGAGCTGGCTGGTCACACAGTGCTGGCTCACCTCCTGTTTCCAGCTTCTAAATTGCATTAAACCAGGCTAAGATTGTCTCCCTTAGAATCCTCTCCTAATATTTCTTTTCCATTTAGTGCTGTAGATGCCTTGGGGCCATTTGTGCCGTTGCACATGGAAGGGGCACGGTCCAGGTAGTATTCAGTGGTGGCTTTCCATGAGGCAACCTCACGCTGTGAGGAGAGTTAACATAGACCTTGCAGGCAATCTGGGGGGGCTGGCAGGAGCACCTGTACTGCAGGGAAGGTAGTATATTCCCAAACTTATATGTACACAGCTTCCAGCACACAAAGTTCTGCTTGTTGATTTCCATAGCTCATGTAGTGCTGCTTTCAATGTCGCTGGTTTACTTTGGGCTGAGACTCCAAGTCAATTTGAAGTTGAGCCCTTTGTGTTTCATCCAACCCAAACTGAGAGAGACAAAAAATCATTACAGGCTGATGGCTCTCTGGTGGCCTATGAGTAATTAATTGGTGGTCTTGATCTGTTTCTAACTAAATAGGTAAGCACACCACCACCCAGCCCACCATCACAGCTAGTGCTCACTGGACTTCTTATTGCTAGTCTTAGTCAAGAAGCCAAGGGCCTGGAAAGCTGCGTGTTGGCAGTGGGATGTTGGGAAGGCCACTTGGGCTGTCCCAGCTCTAGGAGGCTACGTGGGCCTTTAGCCTCCAGGCTTGTTAGTCTGACACGTCTCGCCAACATTCAAAAGAAAGAAGCTCTTTTATTTCTCCAGTAGTCTTTAAAAATGGCTCCAGGATTCTGAGACACTACCTCATAGTCAGTCAGTGGCAAGCAGGCTGTCAAAAGAGCTTCTGAGAGATGCTGTTGGGGACATTAGTGTTTGGGAGCCTGAGCTATAAGAGACAAGATCAGAAAGGCTCTTTTGCCAGGGTGCTGTGGCCAAGCTAGGTGAGGTACTGGGCAAAACATGGGGCTAAAGAAATCCTTCTTGTTTTGGAGAACTGGGTATGGGTATGGGTGAGAGGCTTAAAAATGCTCCTGCACCTCTGCTTGATTGTATAGGTGAGTATTCTTCAGTGTGTGTGACGGTTTTAAGAGGTAGAGAGGTATTTGATGTCCTTGCTAGCAGTACTTCTGTCAGACACGTGCTCATCTAAACACACGTGATGCTTTGATGCACACGCAAGGGATAACACATTCATTCCTCTTTTTCCTTTCTTGTTATAGCAGTAAAATGAAGAGGGTGGACAAGTCGGATAATGAGGAAGAAAGAGAACCTGAAAATGTAAAGAAGAAAAGGAAGCGAATCAAACAGCTTCAGTCTGACAGCAGTGATGAGGAAGGTAAAAAAGATACAGAAACAACCAGGCATGGAGGTCAGGGGGCTGATTTTGACAGTATTTCTATCTAAATAGTAATAGTAATCTTTGACAGTATTACTATCTAAAGTGTTGGTTAGTGATTGAGGACTTGTAGTTTAGAGGACTGAAGGGTTTATAAGTCTTTAGGCCTTAGAGGATTGCCATTTCAAGGACTAAAGACCGTGCAAATGGCTGTAGCTTGAGCTGTCTGTTTATCTTGCCCTGCAAGCACTTGGGCATAGAGTTGAGATGCTGCAGTCATTCAGTCTTTGTTTTAGCTTAGCTCAGATCTGGCTGTCTCCTCACCAAGTGTGCTGCCAGTCACGCTGACGTGTGGGAAGGAGATTCTCAAATCTCTTGTGAAAGAGAGCGCGCCTTCCAGAGCTGTAGGACTGGTCATAACCAGTTTATCTGGTGAATAAACACTCACAAAGTGACCTCCCCCCTTCCCAGGGTCATTTTTAGTATCTTTATTCTGTCTGTTTATAGAAATGGGTTGGAAGAGAGCATTGGAAGTGAGGCATCCAAAAAAGCAAGATAATAGAGAAACTGGAGGCAAAGCAGTTGAGCCATATCCGATGCGACTCCGCGTCTCCTCGGTGGCTCTTGGCTTTGAGAGGAGAAGGGTGCCCAGAACGTCGCAAGATTTGGGTTTATAATGAGGAACAGCAGGGCTGGATTCCAAAGAATTTGGATAATTGAGGTGACAAATGCCGTTCAATACAGATAACTGGAAAAGAAGTTGGGATTGAGCTGGCGAGTATGTGTGAAATGGAGCAGTCATCCAGCAAACTGATCAGGAAAAGAATTTGGGGATCATTACAGGCAAATAATTGAAACCACCAGTTTGGTGTACAGCTTCCAGTCAAAAATAGGTGCAACATGAAATAGGTTGTGTTAGTGAGGAGGTGGCTCCAGCTGAAGCTGTTTGCTTATTCAGTGTGGCTACCAGATGAGAAACAACCCTGGAATGAAGAGAATCTGCAATACAAATTAGAGAGGTGAATACTGTTGGATGTCATAGCAGCCTCCATGCCACCTTAGGCCTATTTTCATGGGTTCTTTGCTGCCCAGCAGAATTTCAAGTGATCTCTGTCATCAGGCATCCATCACTGCTCGGGCTATCCCACAGGATGATAAATCTCTCGGGAAGCTGTTCTTCATGATTAGCCTTAATTTCATCACATTCCTGTGTGCAGCTCCTTGTTTGGCCATGAAAAAAAAAAGTATATATGCCCACACTCTTTGGTATTTATTTCTTTAAATGTTTGTAAGCTATTATCCAGTCTTTCCATTTACTCATCACTCAGCCTCCTGACAAGCTGTGGTGTTTAGCTCTGAAGAGGGAAGATTGAAATCAGCTCCTTTGGCCACTGAAAGCACCGCTTCTTGCTGGGCTGGAATCTCTCAGCTCGTTGGCTCTTCACTAACAGGAGTGGGCAGAAATGAGGCTGGTTTGGGTTGAAGGGATCTTAAAGCTCATCCAGCTCCAAGCCCTGCCACAGGCAGGGACCCCTTCCACTGGAGCAGGTTGCTCCAAGCCCCTGTGTCCAACCTGGCCTTGAACACTGCCAGGGATGGGGCAGCCACAGCTTCTCTGGGCACCCTGTGCCAGCGCCTCAGCACCCTCCCAGGGAAGAGCTTCTGCCTAAGAGCTCAGCTCAGTCTACCTAGTCTAATATAATAATACCTGATTCTAATCTTGAAGTGCAAAGGCTTCTTGGTTCAGTCTTCCTTGCTCTGCTGTGAGTTGGGGACCCTCTGCCTCCTGTGTTGATGGCAGTGGTCTGAGCACACAGTCTGCTTTACTTACCTATTTCTCTCTAGCTCCTGAGACTAAAAACAGTGCTCTATGACTGTTCTAAATTGAGGAGCTCTTTCTGTAGAACCCTAGAATCTCAGGTTGAAAGGCACCTACCTCAAGGATCATCTGGTCCAGCCTTTTAGGGCAAAGCATGACCTGCAGAGAATACTGCAAACTCCTGCTTGCTGCATATCCACTTTTGGATATTAGAGCTCTTGTCTCTTGTTGAATATTCACCTTTAGCATGTGCTGAATAGTTAATACCTTTGGATGTGGTGCCTTCTGCTTTAATATATTCCAAGGTATGCTCCAAAGTCTGTGTGTGTACTCCTACCTGAGTGCCTGCAGTAGGTCTGTTTAGGTGTTGTGCCTTGTTTCATTTGTGCTCTTAAGTGTGAGTTAACTGGATTTGCGATTAGAAGCCATCAGTCTGGTCCTCTAGTCAGGTTGGGAGCCCGTGTGTCTTAACTGTCCTCATTCAGAGTAGCTTTAGGCATTGAGAGCAGGACAAGTAAGGCCACTCACTCAGTCATCTGTTAAATTGGCTTTTGATTTACTCCTGTTTAACCCACTGGAGATGCAGGCAGAAGGTTTGACTTTCCATTTGGAGAGCTGCTCTTGCTCCTCCTGCATCATGCATAGTCCTCTTTGTTCTCTCCATTTTGTGGAGCTTTGTGTTGTGGATTAGAATTGGAAATGTATGCAAATTATAGTTTAGACATACAAATTTGTGTATTATTGATTAGCTTAGTGCTATTCCCTTTTAAAAGGGAAAGATGGGAATCAAGAGAGCTTCTCCGTTCTTCCTTTTCAAGCTAATGGCTATTTAAACCACCCTGACAAGGTCCATGTTCAGCCCTTTGGTTCTGCAGCTTGCCCTTCTAAATCCAGCTGGATGAAAGGAGATAGTTTTGAGTTCTTTGAAATACTCATACAGAATCCAAGCTGATAATATTCCATTCAGTATTCAAATACAAGGATGTAAGTAACAAATAATTAAATACATATATATATATATATATATATAGCAGCTGGGATTTAAGAGCTTTTATCCTTGGGAAGGTTGGAGCTGGTTTCTCCAGAGAGCAGGGTCAATTTTAATCAGCATCAATGAGGAAAATGGGGCCTGGAGTGACATTGTTCCATGCTGCATCCCAGTGGGAGCAGGGAGGAAGGCACCATATGCTGCACAGCATTTGGGAATCGCTGCCGGACAGGGCACGGTGCATCCACCACCTGCATAAACACCCCCCAGATGATCAAGGGGTAAGTTTTAAATATGCAAGATGCAATATGGGAAGCTGTACCCCCAGGGTGGGATCAAAGGCCAAGAGTGTGGCTGCTGCTGCTGCTAACCTGGCTGACCTCCACTGGAAGCAGAGGAGGAGGAGGAGAAGGAGGCATGGCCTTAGGCAGGGGTGCAGCTGCAGATAGGTGATGCTTGTCTACAGCCACTGCTGCGACTGAACTGTGTTCAGACAGGGCTCTACCTGGGAAACTACAAGTAAGAACCCTACCCTTTTTCAGGAAGATTTAGCCCCATTTTGTGGGTTTGAAACAACTGATGATCAAATGCTGCGAGGGCTGGAGCAGCTCTGCTCTGGAGCCAGGCTGAGAGAGCTGGGCTGGGGCAGCCTGGAGAAGAGAAGGCTCCTGAAGGGGAGACCTGAGAGCAGCTCCAGTGCCTGAAGGGGCTGCAGGAAAGCTGGAGAGGGGCTTGGGACAAGGGCCTGTAGGGCCAGGCCAAGGGGAATGGCTTTAACCTGCCCGAGGGGAGACTGAGCTGAGCTCTTAGGCAGAAGCTCTTCCCTGGGAGGGTGCTGAGGCGCTGGCACAGGGTGCCCAGAGAAGCTGTGGCTGCCCCATCCCTGGCAGTGTTCAAGGCCAGGTTGGACACAGGGGCTTGGAGCAAGCTGCTCTAGGGGAAGGGGTCCCTGCCCGTGGCAGGGGTTGGAGCTGGAGGAGCTTTAAGATCCCTTCAACCCAAACCAGTCCGGGATTCCATGATGTGAAGCACTGTATGGCTGTATTTATATCAGGGCAGGTCTTTTGCATCGTTCTATATTAGTCTGCTCTTTATATACTGAATGTAGCCCAAAATAAGCTCTTCTTACACGAGTGTCAGCACATTGTACCGAGTTGAATATACAGAGAGGGCATAAGGCACAATCCTCCCCATTTAAATGATTTTTCATTAAAAAGTTATATTGGTATGAGGGTGCCTTAGTCACTGCAGGTTGTTTTGCTTCCAGTGCCAGAATAAACTACACAAGTGTGTCCACAGAGGACAGGAGGGTTTGGCAGCTCCAGCTATACCAACACAGGCAGCGTTTCACAGTGTTGACAAGTGTTTTACAGCCACTTTGGAGGGTGATTTCAGTGGCACTGTAACCTCCACACTCGCTCTGTTTCGCAGAGCAGCAGCAGCAGCCCTAAAGCTTCTCACAGTTTTTTTTCCAGGCAGGGTCAGAGCAGGCTGAACAAAGCCAGGATTTACATCTTTGGGACATCCAATTGCCCAACTTGTATCCATTTCATGCAGCTGTTGCTGTTGAGTAAACTGTGGGCAGCAGCTAGAGGTTGACTCAGGAGTTAGCACATGTCAGAGGGCTGTGTTGGCTAGGAGAGGATAATAAAGGGATAGAGAAGCAGCTTGGTGGTAGTCCGAAACACTCTGACGTGGGGAGAAGGTGCCTTCTCCCTGCCAAAAGCTGGGGGTGCTTGTTTGAAGGAGGCTGAAAACAAAGCCTAAATCTGCCCCCAGTAAGCTGACACACTGCAGGTACCTTCAGCAGCCTCTGCTTGTGTGCAGCAAGCTGCTTTTCACCCCTTTTAGCCCTTCAAGCTGCTTTCAGATTGGTGTGGCTGGCTGAGCAGCAGGTTTGGTGCAGTGCAATATGTGCTCTTTCCAGCCTCCAGTTTCTGAGAGCCTGCTAAACAGGGGGAATTTTGAGTTCCCTGCAGCTCCTGGGCTGCAGTTCCTGCCTGCTCCAGCAGTTAACACCTTAGAGCTGATCCCTTGTTTGGTGTTTTATCCTCGCGCAGCTGCCAGCCCCAGCTCTCTGGAGCAAGGTGGAATACCGAGTCATGTTATCCCTCTCTGTTTGCATTTCTGTGCCTTGCTTACTGAAGTAGTTATGAGGCTGAGCCCTTGTTTGAAGAATGTCATTTATTATTTAGCCTTGGCAGCCAAGCACTGTTTCACTTGAGCCCTTCTTAACCTCTGAAGGTCACTTGGCCCTTTGCCTGGCCAACAGTCATAACTCTTAACACTGACCTAATCACTTGGGACAGCCACGGATCCAGAATTCCTGTTACAACAACGGGATGAATGCAGGGCTGCAGCCAGTGGAGCTGGGAGCAGAAGCCAAGCAGGCACCCTGACCTCCCATCCAGCCACATCGGTGCTGTGCTTAAGCAATAGGTCAGATGAGGAGTTTCTCCCCCCCCCCCCCCCATTCTTAGCTCTGCCCCACACTTGAGGACCTCCATGGCAGTGTTTCTCCCCTTGATTTGGAGAGGATTTCTTAAAGCCACTGTGCTGCATGGTGCAAGGTGCTGCTCCTTGCCCTGCACTGGTTTTGCTTTCCCATGAGGGCTCTGTCCCCCTGCCAGCCCCACAGAAGAATGACCCTGACTTTCCCCTTTATGAGCCTCACTAAGGCTCTGTTTGACGTTGCTGGTAGAAGCTCCAGACCTGGTTTTGCTCTTTATGAAGTGGCCTTGACTATTTCAGCCACTTTTGGCATTAAAATGATTCCACTCTGTCCTTGCACCCAGAGGAGAGCACAGCACAGATGACGGCACAGGAGAGAATGGGCTTAGTTTTTGGGGGTGGTTTGGTTGCCAACCAAAGGTTGAGGTGTCTCTTAGTGATCTTTTAGGATGGGTGATACTACTATTACACTTAATTCTTGGATTAAGGTAGTTCCAAGCTAATAGCATGGATTGTCTGGGGTGTGTAGCACCATCAATAACTGTTTTAGTGATGGGGGAGAGGTAGAGAAACTGAGGTCAACCAGTGATTGGGAATATGTAGCCTTAAACCCAGACTCCTTCAATCTCTAAACAAGTTCCAGTCCATCTTTTCAATGAGCAAGTGAAAAACATGGCTAAAACCTGCCAGTTTAAGGTTTCATTTGGAGGAATGGATTTTTGGCTTACCAAAATCCCAAATGCGCTTCTCCCATCCTATCCCACCCTCCTTCCTGTGGGAGCTGCAGCACATAGCACCGGGGGAGCCATCTGGCTGGGGGCTGACCACTCCAGACAACTTGTCCTGACTTGAATTAAACAAACCTGAGTGAGAACTTGTAAACCTTGATCTAAATATAAGTTACAAGCAATTGCTCAGAGTTAAATGATATTAGTTAAGACAGAGGGGTAGCATTAGCCCTGGGTGCTACCACAATGTTCATCTTCTTAGCAGGTATCCCACCACCTCCTACACCTGAGGAAGAGAAACCTCCATCTCCACCTCCCGTACCTACCCTAAAAACTGAACTGGAGCCTGCATCCACAGAGGTAAGAGCGTGTTAGTGATGAGCTTCTGGTTTGATCTCACTCGATGGGCATTACCCAGCCACTTTTAAGATGCTGAAGGGGAAGTCCTGTTTCCCTGTCAAGCCCATCACATCATCCTGCTTGAAAGAATACATCACATTCACCAGTTCACTCATTTTCTCGCTGTTGTTTAAACTCTGACTTTTCTGCTGTCATAAGCAGGTTTCTATTTTCTTCCCTTTTCCCCTCCTAACAGTTCTATGAATTGTGGCTCATATTTCAACACTTTTCCCTCTGAATCTTGGCCTTGGGAGCCAGGGCAGGGCCAGAAATGAAACCAGAGACTCTTGGTATCCAATCTTCTATCACAAGAAAGCTGCTGCCTAAGGGGGTGGGCTGGAATTGGCAAGAAGTTAACCTCTAAGCAGAGAAAATACACGTAGGTTTACTGAGGGTGCAACTGTGTCACATCAGTTGTGGTGTCTTGCACAGCTTGTTGCTTCCTCATTCCTCAGAGGTTTGATGGGACAACCCTGGTGCCACCTTCTCATGTAACTAAAACATGTTTCAAGCTGTCACATGGCTCAGAAGAGGAATGTGCCCCTATGCTGGCACAGGGGAAGGTTTAAGGTCTCATTTCATTTGTGTTTTCTCTCTGACATTTGTCCTGGTGGGATGGAGGGAGTTGTGGCATCATCAAAAGTGAGACTGGGATATCCAGGGAAGAGACAGGTTTAGTTCTCAGATCATGGTCAGCTTCATGAGGGGCACCATATTGCACACCCAGGGGTGAAGCTTTTTCTGATCTGTGCATGGGGATTTAACTCTTGGTATCTCACAATACCTCAATGTCCCTCAGGTTTCAGCTGGAGGGAGGAAGAGGAAACGGAAGCGTGTGCTGAAATCCAAGATGTTCATTGATGATGAAGAAGGCTGCATGGGTAAGCTCTCTTCTACACCACAGTGGAACTATACTGAAGATGTGCTGAAGGTGTTTAAAGGCCAGCCTCTCCCAGGCTCAGAAAGAGGTTCACAAAATCACTTTGCTGTTCCACTTCAACCTCATGCTGCAAGATCGAGATAACTGCCCTTTTGGTGAAGGCCTGCACAGGGAGTTATGGAGCTGGAGCTGAATCCTGACTCGTTGATTACCAAAAGCATATGTCAAAAAGAGTGTGAGCAGCAGTGGAGAGAGGAGATTCTCCCCCTCTGCTGCGCTCTGGGGAGACCCCCCCCGCAGTCCTGATCCAGCTCTGGGGCAGCAGCACAAGAGGGACGTGGAGCTGCTGGAGTGAGGCCAGAGGAGGCCACGGAGCTGGTGCTCTGTGTTCAAGGCCAGGTTGGACACAGGGGCTTGCAGCAAGCTGCTCCAGTGGAAGGGGTCCCTGGCCGTGGCAGGGGATGGAGCTGGAGGAGCTTTAAGGTCCTTTCCAACCCAAACCATTCCATGATTCACAGTTTTTCTTTCACTTCTCCCTTCCCTCCTGCCACCATAAGCACCTCCTTCATTTGCTCTCCAAAGCTACAAGCTGTTAAAGGTGATGCAGAGAGTGGTCCAAGTTTTGGGGTAGATTTTGGCTGTTATCAGTTTGGTTTGATGATTTTGAGTATTTTGGGGGGAGTGGGGTGGGTTTTATGTTTGGTTTTATTCTCTTCATTTGGGGATGCATCCAAAGCTGTGCAGCAGGCCTTGGTTATATGTTAATATAAACGTTAAGTATCCCAGATAAGGAATAAGTTGGAGCTTAAATCCTCAAGAGGGTTTCTGTTTCTGATAAGGACAGCTCTGCTTTCAGGAGGGGAGAGACCCTCTACATAAGTACTGAGAGCCAAAGGCTTTGAATTCCAGCCCCACTGGACCCTGCTTCCTCCTGTGAGCAGGGGAAAGCTGTGCATCACCCCTGCGCTTTCCTCCTCTGTGTCCTGACACTGAAGCAGAGCTGCAGGAGTTCAAAGTCTATTATTTAAAGGCTAAAAAACGTTAAGAAGGTGGAATGTGGTTTTGTCAGCTGAATCGTATGGGATGCTTCATGTTCTCCAGCCTTGCTGATGTCAGGGGAGCTCAGCCAGTCCTAGGAGAAGATCTGTTGCTGTCACACAGGTTTGTCATTGTGCATGAGCATAGAAAGGCACAGACTTGCTTGGCCCAGGTTTGGAGCTGCCTGGCCGTGAGTCAGCTTGTGTCTGTTTGCACCTATCTGTGTAGTTGTATCTTCTGTTTCCCATTAACTTTGTGTGTCTCCTTTAAAGAAACACTATGTTGGTAAGTGAAATCTCAAATCCTGGAGTTGTGTCCAAGAATTGGCCTTGCACAAAGCTATTGAGTGCCTTGGCTGGTTGTGTTATGGGGTGTTTTGCTCTCCCACCCCAGATAGAGCCATTAAAACACTTGGAAGGAAAATAGAAAGCATTATGTGAGGAGTGGAGTTGATCGAGCTCTGCATCCAGGGCTTGCAGGAATGAATGTTCCGGGTTCAGCTTCCAGCAAGGAGTGCTCTTCTCTTTCTTTCCAGCCTTTCACAAACATACCAGTGCTGGGAATATCGCCTGCCTTTCCCTTCTTCTCATTCCCAAGTTATTTAATAGCCTCTTGTGAAATCCAGGCCTTTAGTTTTACAGTCCTATCTACTACCATTATCTGAGAAGGGAAATGCAAGCCCCTGGTGTGCTTTGGGAGACAGATCCTCTGGGATAGAGGGGGTGGATGGAGCTGGGAAACTGAGGAAATGGGTAAGGAAGAGGGGCTGCTTTCCATACTAAATCCCTACCAGTCTCTTGCACAGAACTTGCTGTCTGGTTCTTGTCCAGTTTCTCTCCTCCCCTCCCTTTCCCACCCTTTCCATGCACAGGTCTAATCATTGGAAGGGTAAATACCTCGCAGATCTCTCAGGTTAAAGTAAATTGTTGTTATTCTTTGCAATATAGGGGGTTCTTTCCCCCCTCTCCCTGTTGTCTTCCTAAACAAGGACTAGGTTTTAAGAGATGTTAAATCCTAGCGTTAGGATTAGGCTGTACTTGAAATTTCTCCATGATTTTAAGAGCTCATTTTCACAACATCTGCAATAGCAAGGAATTGGTGTCAAAAAGCAAAACTAACTTAGGGATTAGCCCTGAGGGGAATTGAGCAATTAAAGTATCTGTGGGGTTAAGAACAGGACTTGTACCAAGTGGGACTCTTATCAGTCGAATGTCTGCCCTTAGTATATAGCAAAGGGGAACTGCTGAGAGTTAAGCTGCTGCATTTTCTACCTTGCACTTCCTAAAACTAGAAAGGATAGAATCACAGAATGGTTTGGGTTGGAAGGGACCTTAAAGCTCCTCCAGTTCCAACCCCTGCCATGGGCAGGGACCCCTTCCACTGGAGCAGCTTGCTCCAAGCCCCTGTGTCCAACCTGCCCTTGAACACTGCCAGGGATGGGGCAGCCACAGCTTCTCTGGGCACCCTGTGCCAGCGCCTCAGCACCCTCACAGGGAAGAGCTTCTGCCTAAGAGCTCAGCTCAGTCTCCCCTCTGGCAGGTTAAAGCCATTCCCCTTGGCCTGGCCCTACAGGCCCTTGTCCCAAGCCCCTCTCCAGCTTTCCTGCAGCCCCTTCAGGCACTGGAGCTGCTCTCAGGTCTCCCCTTCAGGAGCCTTCTCTTCTCCAGGCTGCCCCAGCCCAGCTCTCTCAGCCTGGCTCCAGAGCAGAGCTGCTCCAGCCCTCGTAGCATCTCCATGGCCTCCTCTGAGCTTGTTCCGATAGCTCCACATGCCTTTTGTATTGCTGCCCCCAGAGCTGAATGTAACAGCTGAAAGGCAGCATCTACATTTAAAAAGCAAGAAAATTGAGGTCCTACAATCCAGAAGCAGCTCCATGGACTTGTAAATTGAAATATGTATCTATGTATATTGTAGGTAAATCTGTCTTATGGCACCAGTTTAAGTTAAGAACTCGTGTAGTTTGAGTTACCACTGATTTAGTGAGTCTGGCTCTGAGCTGAGCATCAATATCTGTCTGCATGCCCGTATCTGCTGCAGATACAGAGTTGGACTTCAGCTGAGAGAGCAGTGAAAGAAAGTTGATCTAAACTGTGTTATCTTGCAATTGGAGGGGATTCAGTGCACGCATTTGGACTTAGCAGTGATTACTGACAGGGGTGACAGCCTGATAACTTTATAAAGCTCAGTAGTGGCCAGTGCAGTTAAAGCTGCTCACTGAAACCCCCTTGCCTCTGAAGAGGGGTTAGTTTGGGTTTCCAGTCCCTGTTTAAGCATCTGCTAGCACTGCCGTGCAGGGCTTCATACCATTCCTTTTCCCAGTCTCTGGTTACGTAGAAAACCTACTTTGATTTGATGCATTAATACAAGTGAAAGCCAGATTCCCAGAAGAAGGGAAGTTGGGACATCTGTTTAAAGAAATAGAGTTGCTAAAGAAAAATGGTTTGCTAGAGGAATCCCAGAGCACTGCTGGGAAAGCTGATACAACAACATTTACTAGTGTCTAACCATGGCTTTCATCAGCAGAGCTGACTCCACTTTAATATCCGTGAGCCTTGCTTTATATCCCTTAGCTTTCCATCCCTGGATGCTGACAGCGGTGAGCTGGCAATCCCCTTCAGAGCCCTTGATTTCACTCATGGGTTTGGATTTATTGGGGTTTTTAAGGGATTTCTTTCTGGGTGCCCACCTTTCTAGAAAGCAACTGCCCCCAAGGTTTTGTACTGCTTTATCTATGTTTGCTTCAAGCTTCCCTGACCATCTGAGGTGCTGGTGAGGGAATTCTGGGCCTCTCTTTGGGTTGTCTCATCTGGACTTTAGGGCAATCTGATTGTTGTGGTCCCTGTGGAAATCAGACCAACTCGGAATGGTGCTTTTTAACTATAAAATAGACATTCCATCATCTGCAATTCTGCTCACCTTCAGATTCATCACTTTCTGATGGCTGCTTGTCAGTTGATGGTCTTCAGTAGAGTTGGGCCTTGCTTCTAAGAAGAGGGCAACACTTGAATAGATTTGGAAAGGGAACTGTTCTCCTGAGGGCCCTTCCCAGTAGGGAGCCTTGGGCTGCTGCTCTTGAAGGCCTGCATGTGGCATATATGTGTGTGGTGACATCAAGCCATTTGGAAAGAGCTGGCTGACACTTGAAAAGAGAAGGCTCCTTAAGGGGAGACCTTAGAGCAGCTCCAGTGCCTAAAGGGGCTGCAGGAAACCCAGAGAGGGGCTTGGGACAAGGGCCTGTAGGGCCAGGCCAAGGGGAATGGCTTGAACCTGCCCGAGGGGAGACTGAGCTGAGCTCTTAGGCAGAAGCTCTTCCCTGGGAGGGTGCTGAGGCGCTGGCACAGGGTGCCCAGAGAAGCTGTGGCTGCCCCATCCCTGGCAGTGTTCAAAGCCAGGTTGGACACAGGGGCTTGAAGCAAGCTGCTCTATGGAAGGGGTCCCTGCCCGTGGCAGGGGTTGGAACTGGAGGAGCTTCAAGGTTCTTTCTAATCCAGACCATTGCATGTTCTGTGATTAAAGCTCCTGAGTCATTAACCTGCCATCTTACACTGAAGAAAGAGGGGAAGCGGTTTGAGTCAGTGCATGCAAAGCCCATCCAGTCATCTGGATCTCCTGCGTGACCTTGAGCAACGCACTGAATTCCTGTATCTGACACATTCTCCTTGAGCCCCAAATGCTCACTTCCAGAAAGGCTCATTTCCTCCCCTGCAGCAGGGAGGTCTCTGCTCTCTGGTACAGAGGCTTAACCACCATCATCTGTTCTTCTTCTCTCTTAACCAGTGACTGAGAAGGTTTATGAGAGCGAATCCTGCACAGATAGCGACGATGACTTCAAGACCAAGCCACCCGCTGCACCCAAACAGCCTGTGCTGCCTCTGAAGAAAGAACCAAAAGAAGAAAGGAAGAACGTGAAGAAAGGGGTGGCTGCTGCCAGCAGAGCCAGCAAGCAGGTCTCCATCATGGGCTTTTTCCAGAAGAAATGAACTGGGTCTTTCTCCTGGTCCTCTTGGGACCGTTGCTCTTCTTGTGCAGCGTTCTGCAAGCTGCTGCAGGGGACGAGGACGACATGCAATCTTCACTTACGTAAGATATCTTGCTTACTGTGTAAGTAAGCCCTCTGGACTAGATTTTGTATCAGAGAAAAGTGTAATTCCTCACTGCAGTAACTTGAATCCTCTTTACTGAGTGTGGGAAGCACCAGTTAGAAGCAAAATCTAGAGGAACTCTTGAAAGACTCCCCATTTATCCCATTAAAATCTTATGCTTTTTTAATAATGGCCTTTTACCTGCTTGGTGCTGAGGCCTCTTCCACAGTGGAGCAAAACAAAGAGTTGAGTTGTGGCATTCTTTTCCCCCTTCTTTTTTACACCCCCAGTTCTCCCGATTGATGTAAATGGTCACATTGGTTCGAAGCTGTAACGTAACCGGTCTTGAGACATACCCACAAATACTGAACATCTGCTTCAGCTTTAACTGAATGAAATGAACTTGATTTTCCCCTAAAGACTGGTAAATAGTTTTTGCTCTGCCTTTCATAATCTTTTTTTGGACAAAGCAGCCCATATAAAACTCTCTTACTCTTTTCTTCCTTGAACGCATCCTCTGTAAACTGCTCAGATGCCTAATTATAGACCCGGGACACTGTTGGTGCTCTGTGTCTGCAAAAACATCTCTGAGGCTTCCCACCCAACTGGCTCCGGAGTAATTTGGGGGAAGGCTTTGCTGTTATTAGGAAAGCAACTGTATCCTTAACCTTGGAAGTTAAGGAGTCAAAGGGAAGGGTGATCAGAGGGCACTGCTGATAACACCGCTCAGGTGTGTTGTCCGTGAAGAATTCCTGCTTCTGGGTTTTGTGGGGTTTGGGTTGTCTGAACTGTGTTTTTCCAGGCATAATCTAGACACCAGGAGAGTTGTTTCCTAGGGCATCTCATCCTCCGCCTGCTGAGGGAAGTGTGTCACAGCAAATGGTGCTGAGGAACCAGTTACTGGAGATGAATAAAGCACTGCAGGCCCCTGAATCAGAAATGAGGTGCCAGTTTGGATGCTTTCTGGTGCTAAATTTGGTAGATCCATAGAAATAGCAGGCTTTCCAGACATGGGTGCTGAGCATTTCTGAACCTGGGCCTTTGAGGACCCCACATAGGTGACTGATGTCATCAGTGGTTGTTTCCAACATGTGTATGGGCATGTATGTACATCCTGGTTTATAAAGAGTTTGTGGTTAGCAGAAAGCTACCTAAAGCCTGAAGAGTGTCACCAAGGAAGGAATGTCTTGAGGCACCCCACTGAAATCCAGCGTTTGGCCAGGAAGAGCTGTTTACAGTCACTCTGACCAGGAGATCAGGTTGGTGACTCTGAATTTGAAAGCACACACTCCTAATAGTGACCAACAGTTACCTTGGTGGAAGTCACATCACCCTGGGCCATCAGGGCACGTGAGAGGATCTCCTTCAAACACCTACAAGCAGCAGTGTCTCTGTGTGCCCATGTGTGTCCAGACTGTGGGGTTTCAGCTGCTTGACATGTGGATCCCTGCTTGACAGGGCTGTTTGAGGGCAACCTCAATCCCCTCCCCATGTAACTCCTCAGAAGCATTAAGAACTTAAATTCTGGACCTTCTGAATTGGAGATGTGTAGGAAAAAAGGCTGGGAAGATGAGGGGAAGCCACAAATGACACGGTACTCCCAGCCATCCAAACCCAGAGCCTGCTGCACAAGCTGAAAGAGGTTTCATGCTCTCAAGGTGTGTCAGCCGAAGTCAGCTCTCCAGGTTGGAGTGACGTGAGCAGCAGAGGTCCATGTGGAAAGAATGAGCCACCTTGTTCTGCCTTTTATGAAGGGAATTTAACTGTTAACCACACTGCTGCAGTGTTCCTGTTTTTTTTTTTTTTGCTGGAATTGAGGGTGTATTTTGAAAAGTAATAACAAACCCATTAAAGACATTTTTCTTTTGTTCTTGCTGTTTGTTAACTGTCCATTAATTCTTCACTCTGATTTCCAAGGGTTGCTGTGACATTTGTCTGCATGGAACAATGTCACTGGTGGAGTGGATGCAATGTTCTTCCATCAAAGGCAGGGCTGGAAGCATTAAACTGGTTTACGGCATCTGAAATACGGGTGAGAATACCTCAAAATGCCAGGGTCTGTGTTGAATTTGGACCCTTTTTGTCTCATTCCCATGGCAGATGTTGGCAGGACGTGGTGTCCCAGTGCTCTTGCACCTCACCTCTACCAGGGTCTAGCTGGAGCTCGCTGCTCCACCCCACCTCCCTCTATAACCAGCTCAACGTCATAGGCGACTTCCTCAGGAAAATGACTTAATGTCTGAAGAAGCAGGGCATAGGAGAGCTTCAGACTGCCCAAAATCATGATCTCATACTCCCTGCTCCTGCACTTCATGGGCTGCCAGCCCCAGGGGGGCCTCAGGTCCCTGGTTGCCCCCTTGGTGAGGCTGGAGCATCTCCAGGCATTGCATGGGAGCAAGGAACGGGGCTGGTTAAAGGGAGAAGGTTCCTTCTCACTGTGGCTCGTGAGGGTGAAATATCAGAGCAGCTCAGAGCCAGGCAAGGCTTTCAGATAAAGAGCATGTCTTCTGCCTCACAGTAAGCTCAAGATTTGGTATTTATGGTGCTCAGGGTCCAAAATCTCATCCTGGAGCTACAGAAATCCTTTAGGATTTCTTCTTTTCCCTCTGCATCCCCCTTCCAACCAGTTTTAGACCTCAGAAGAGCAATGCCTCATGTTTGGGAGAGGATGATTGGTCATTTTATAGTGGTGTTTGCTCTTACTTTCAAACAGAGGAAGCTTTACCCTTGTTTTCCAGGTGGGATGAGAAGCTGAAGTTGCACCGTTGGATACAACTATTGATGCACCAGGCTCCCATCAGACACGGTGCCTCTGAACCAGCACTCGTGTGTGTGCCCTGAGAAGGGGCTGGAAATGCTGCTCCTAGGGATGAAACATCCGTGTCCCTTGAGCTGATTTATAACCCTCCTTCCCCCAGGACAGAGCCTGCTTGGGAAAAATCCCTCTGCCTTTCCCACTCTGGATTCAGCCAGCCTAAAACAGAGGAAGGGTGCGAGGAAGCGCTGCTGGGTGCTGGCCTAGGGTAACGGACGGTGAGCAGCAGGGCTGGGCTGGGCAGGAGGGTGTCCTGGTGGTGCAGGGAATTGTTTTGCTCTCTAAACAGGCAATGCCAGCTCGGCTGCAGATTCCAGTTGGGAATCATGGAGCAAGCAGGGCCTTATAAGGAAGCAAAACTCGGCTCCGTGAGGCTGGTGGAGAGCAGAGCGGGTGCTTGCCAGGGCCCTGCGTCAGCGTCTTGCTTCTCCCTGGCTGCGGGGAATGGGCTGCAGCACCCTAAGGTGCTCAATACAAGGTGTGGGTGCTGCTGGTAGGGATTTGGAGCACCCCCGGCCACACTGGGATCTGCTTTGGTTCATATCTGCTGCCATGGGTGCTGAGATCCCTATGGGAGCTATTATCTGACAGGGTCAAGTTCATCACCCAGCTGTCTTTGACTCTTCTAAGGCAAATTATGAGTGATTCTGCCTATGTTCATGTCCTGGTGCTGCAAGGCACCAGAGATGCTGACTTCTCAGCATCTGGGTTGCTGGTGCCATTATTTGATGGCTTCAGCCCATGTCCCATCAGGAACTGTGCATGAATTCCAAGTCTTCATTCACGGTTTGATTCTTTTCAGAGGTTTTCCATCTTAAACCGCATCTGAAGGGCTCAAAGGAGGGGTTTTGGTGCCTGGAAGCTGCCTGGAGCATCCCAAAAGCCGCTGGTTTGGAAGCCAGCAGTACCTGTAGGAGCCCTGAGCTTCTGCTCTGAGTTGAGAGCTGGATCTCACATCAAAGCTGACCCTGCTTTGGGGCTTGGACCAGAGACCTTGAGGGGTCCCATCCGGCATCCACAAGTCAGGAAATTAAACTGCAAAGCCATGGCAGTAATATTTAAGCCCCAATGTGGTGTTCTTCAAGGTGGGGCTCTTCACTGTGGGCTGCCCACTGAAGTCCCCACTCTGTTGGGTGGTGATGTGGCATGTTAGATGCCTACAGCACGAAACCACAGTAAATGGCGCTCAGGTGGGGCTAAGGGATGAGTACAAGAATGCAGTCACTAGTAGAGGCCAGAGAGCATCACCAGGGCCTTCAAAGTTGGTGGAGAGAAGAGAGACACTGCAAAATGCAAAGAGAAGAAGCATCAGTGGGAGTTTGGAGGTGTTTTTTCCTCATCCTCATCTCATGGTGGATGAGGATGCAATAGGCAAGCATCGCATCCCACTCACCATGACTAGAGGGTACCAGGACCACGATGCGGAGGGTGATAAGCCATTGTGCCTGGATACTGAGCACCCAGGGCCCCTCAGGTCTGAACATCTCCCTCTGGGTGCTGAGCACCCTTCCTCAGGGCCGAGCATCACCCACCCTTGGTGCTGAGCATCTACTTTGGAGTTGTACATCCCTTGGTGCTGAGCATCCACCTCAGTGCTGAACATCCCTTGGTGCTAAGCATCCACCTCGGTGCTGAACATCCTCCCTTGGTGCTGAGCATCCACCTCAGTGCAAACCCCATGCTCAGCATCCCTATTAGCAGCCCTGTTACACAACCCCCCATCTCCTTGTGGCCACCTCCGTGGCTCACGGCGATCCCCATCATCCCCATCCCGGAGCAGCGGCTCCCGCGCCGCCCGCCACAGCCCGGTGCTTGTTTACTCCTCACATCCCTCCCCGTCCCTTCACCCCGAGAGCTTCCTGGGCTGGTGTCTGTAAGGGATTATTTTTAACCTTTCCAAAATAGAAAGTCTCGCGGAGGAGCAGCTCCTGTTTTTCCATTCCCTTTCCATGTCGTCCTGCAGGGAAGGAAGCCGGCTCCGTAAACAGGCTCCTGCAACGCGGGCGCTGGGGACAACACGCGTGTGTCTTGGGAGTGAGAAGAAGGGGAAAACCCAACGGAGAGGCCGTCCACCTTTCACACGGGGCCTTACGTGGTGCTCTCAGGAGCAGCTCTATCTGCACAGCGTAAGAAGTGCACTTATTACTCATGCTTCGCTAGGTAAGTGTTTTCCTTGGCAGGGAGCGTGGTGGGGTTTTTTGCTCTCTTCACTACTCCCGTCCAGGCTGTTTCGAAGGTTTCCTGAGGTTCTCCACCAGCACTGGCTGGAGGATGCTCTGTTAAACCCCAGACACAACCACTGCTTGTTTGGGAAAGAGCAGGCTGGACTTGGAGGGACTGGGAAGTGACGGCGCGGGTGGCCCGGGACGCGCGGCGCACACAGGGCAGCCTTTCAGCCTGGGTGTGGATGTCACCCCATGCCTGGAGGCAGGGGTGTCACCCCTGTGACACTGCTGGTGCATGGGGATCACCCAGCCCGTGGTCACAATGTACATGTGAGACCCCCTGCCCTGCAGTCCTGTGTCTGGGGCAACAGCACAAGAGGGACATGGAGCTGCTGGAGCAAGGCCACAGCGATGCTGCAAGGGCTGGAGCAGCTCTGCTCTGGAGCCAGGCTGAGAGAGCTGGGCTGGGTGAGCCTGGAGAAGAGAAGGCTCCTGAAGGGGAGACCTGAGAGCAGCTCC